AATCATCCGGGCATCCCCTGGGCAACATCCTTGCAGACGGCCAATTCTCTCACACCAGAAGCGACTTGCAGTCACTCCTGACACGACAAACAAACAAAACCATGGATGTGGTTGGGGCTGATGGGATTTGCAATTCAGTTGCAACTAGGATCCGTCTAGGGACCCACATTATGTTTCCAAGTCTCCCAAAGTTTCTGATATTATTGTGGTGGAAATGCATTGAATCAGTCACATAAAAGTTACAGGACTGAAAATGAGCTTATATAAGAAAGCTGTTCTTGTTGTTGTTGTTGTTGTTGTTGTTATTGTTGCTCATTGTTTGTATCTGCCACCATCCTTAGAAGGATTCCATGTTCGTGGAAGAAGTCCAAAATACAAAACACTTCTGTATTCTGATATAATGCAAGAAAGTCTCAAGACTGTTACTTTTTCAAAAAAAGATACCAAAAGTGACCTTTTGATGGAGCAAAATAATTATTTTCCTTCATTCCCATGTGCCAGAACTCAGGGCTGATCCATAGACTCACATTTAGTCCAAAGGGATTTGTTTCTTTGCATACTTTTTTGTAGTGCCTTTAGAAACAATGGGATTAGAGAGGCTCAGGAATGCAGACCTATCAATTCGAGGCCAGTCTGGAGCAGAAATGGTGCCCAAGCCATTGCTAAAAAAAAATCACCTTTTCTGGTAGTGGCTGTTGGCTGGTTTCCAGGACAATGTCCTGCAGGTTTTTGCTCCAGATGAAGTCATCCAAGGTACTGAAGCCTATCCTGAAACAGAAATGCACCAGACTAGCATCAAAGGCAGCCAGATACACCATTCCCAATCCATGGCATCAGCAGGTCTGGCCCAGCTGGACTGAGACCACATTGGCCAAACTGGAATCTTGCCATCCATTTCACATAGCCCTCCTTTACTGACATCAGCAGAGGTGCCCACATGACAAGGAGTGAGGCCACAACAGCGACACAGGCCTGATCCATTCCCGTCTCCCTGAACTAACAGTTGGACCTGGTTCTACTGTCAATACTACACCAAACCTTCAAGGATGCTCGAAAGTATTGGGCAAACTCCGGAGCCTTCCCCAACTTCTGAGAATACAGACTCTGCTATGGCATAATTCAACTTGGGAGTTATAGAATCACTAGCTGTGCCCTGCCACGCGTTGCTGTGGCCTTTAGTAAGAGTTTTGAAGTCTCTGCCTGGCCTCTCTTCCTTCCTTCACTCGCCCTCTTTCCCTCTTTCTCTCTCTCACACTCCTTCCTTTCCCCTCTTTCTCTCTCTCTCTCTCTCTCTCTCTCTCTCTGGCATCCCTCCTTCCTCCCCCTTCTTTATGCTTGTGTGTAAACTTGAGTATCTTCTGTTGGTCATGGGGGTTCAGTGTGGCATGTTTGCCCCAATTCTGTCGTTGGTGGGGTTCAGGATGCTCTTTGAGTCTTGGTGAACTCTGAATCCCAGTGACTACAACTCCCAAATGTCAAGGTCTATTTCCCTCAAACTCCATCTGTGTGGATATTTGGGCGTATTGAATGCTTTGGTCCGGATCCATCATTGTGTCTTCAAAGTCGCCCCCTCCCTTCGCCCCACCCCTTTTTTAGCTGGTGCATTACACTGTTGACTCATGCCCTGCTTGTGGTCTACTAAGATCCAAGGTGGACATGGCTGCCAAAATCACTCCCTTTGGCATGTGGCTGTGGCTTCCATGGGAATGGAATGGTGACTTTGCTGCTGGTATTTACTCCATACATTAATTCAAAGTATTGGAGTCTATCCCCCTTAAGTATGTTAAGCACTTTGGAGAGTCCCTTTGAACCAATCCAAACCCCAGACCAAATTTACCAAGCCATCAAGATGGAATCCACCAAAGTCTCCTCTGCTATTGATATAGCGTGCCTTCAAGTCATTTCCAAAATGTGACCCTCATGGTATTGGGTTGTTGTAGGTTTTTTCGGGCTATATGGCCATGGTCTAGAGGCATTCTCTCCTGACGTTTCGCCTGCATCTATGGCAAGCATCCTCAGAGGTAGTGAGGTCTGTTGGAACTAGGAAAATGGGTTTATATATCTGTGGAATGACCAGGGTGGACAAAGGACTCTTGTCTGCTGGAGCTAGATGTGAATGTTTCAACTGACCACCTTGATTAGCTAATCAAGGTGGTCAGTTGAAACATTCACACCTAGCTCCAGCAGACAAGAGTCCTTTGTCCACCCTGGTCATTCCACAGATATATAAACCCCTTTTTCCTACTTCCAACAGAGCTTCCCAGAGATGCAGGCGAAACGTCAGGAGAGAATGCCTCTAGACCATGGCCATATAGCCCGAAAAAACCTACAACAACCCAGTGATTCCAGCCATGAAAGCCTTCGACAATATATCATGGTATTGTCTTGGCAATGTTGCTTTGAGTGGGATTACCACTGTTGCCTTACTCGGAGGCTGAGAGAGTGTGACTTGCCCAGGGTCACCCAATGGGCTTCTGTGTCTAAGCAGGGAGTCAAACACTCAACGTCAGAGACATAGTCCAAACCCAAAACACTACATTCATGTGACCGTCTGTCATCTCCTCTTCTGTACAACTCTAAAAAATAGATACCACATATATTTTAGTTTTCCTTATTTCGTTGTATTAATACAAAACACCAGGCTGTGAAACGGGGTGAGATCTGGCATCTTTCCGTCATTATACATTTTACACCATTTGTTTGTAAAATAAATTATTCTTGAACCCATGTTATGGTTTGTGCTTTTCTGGGGTGTGAGTGAGGTGCCAATGCACGTTAATTACACTATGCAACACAATTTTTGTTCCTGGATTATAAATGTCATTTCACAAAAACATGGAAAAGGTTTATTAAACTGCAAAAACTTTGGTTGTGGGAAACATCCTACAGCACATTTTGCTCTAGTTTTTCAGTGAATGCTTCATTGAATCTCAGCCAATACAAGCTAGTTTGTGGCAGACACAAAAACAAAGTTTCTGGAGCAGAACAACTACTTTCTAAGTAAGGACTACACAATGAAACAGGAAATAATGCTTTTAAGCCAGGAACAGATAATGTTATTGTCTTGGCAATGTTGCTTTAAGTGGGGTTATCACTGTTGCCTTACTCTGAGGCTGAGAGAGTGTGACTTGCCCAGGGTCACCTAATGGGCTTCTGTATCTAAGCAGGGAGTCAAACACTCAACGTCAGAGACATAGTCCAAACCCAAAACACTGTTCCTGGCTTAAAAGCGTTATTTCCTGTTTCATTGTGTAGTCCTTACTTTGAAAGCAGTTGTTCTGCTCCAGAAACTTCATTTTTGTGTCTGCCACAAACTAGCTTGAATTGGCTGAGATTCAATGAAGCATTCACTGAAAAACTAGAGCAAAATGTGCTGCAGGGTGTTCCCCACAACCAGAGTTTTTGCAGTTTAATAAACCTTTTTCATGTTTTTGTGATAGGACCCATTAGGAAATGGCATTTATAATCATTTTGTTGCATAGTGTTATGGTTGCCATTTACTGCCTGCTACT